ATCATCATCATCATCATCATCATCATCATCATCATCATCATCATCATCATCATACTGTGGATGATGAAACAAGTATGATAATATGTTGAGTTTTTTTTAGGTGTTATGAACTGTTGTTTTCTTCAAGGTGACTGTTGTATTTCAGTAGGGATAGCATAAGATCGAAAATAAAACTTTAAAACGAAAATGACTCTGCTCTTGCTGGGTTCTCACCACATTTTTGCTACTTCAATAAACGTTTAATCAATTATAAACTGTAACAATGCACTCTTTTATAGCACTAAAAGTTGCTAAAGGGATCAAAAGGCTGTGGTCAGACTTCTATTGAATTAAGCGCAAATGTACGCTCATTCAGGCCGACTCATATTCATGAACAGAACGAAAACAGACTCACGGATAAAAGAGACGCTGTTTTTGAATGGAGTTACTACCCGCCAAAAGTGAACACGTCACAGCCCCCCTATCCCACTGGCATACTGACTTACTTAAAGCAAAAGCAATCTCGGAAACAGACTACAGAACGGGAACGTTGTGACAAGTGACATAAAACACAGCTATATTTCCCCCACTTCCCAGAAGACAGCTGAGACAGCTACGTCTAGAACCCATACCTAAATAAAATTGAAAGTCGATACAGCATGTTGCCTTCGGAAACCAACACAATTTACAACTGTTGCAACACTTATTGGATAGCGGGAGAGTCCCAGACGGACGGTGTTTGATGGAAATACAATTTGAGAGACAAGTATGAGATCTTCTACTTAATGGTGGCCGCCAGACGCATTAAGAGAAGAGACGAACTTCCCAGCTATCCCCCCAGGATGGACCCAGCACATTCCTCACGAATATCTTGATTTTTAAAAAACAGAATGTGAGAGGAGGGTTCTCCAACGAGACTTAAATTATTTTTAAAAAAAAAGAAAACAATTTGTTTCTGTGTGATACGTAATGATTGTAAGTTATTCTATCAAGGTGGAGAGTTAAATGTGATAGTAAATGTTCACAAACTGACCCGGAAAAACATTGGTCACACACAC